AACGAGGAGATAGTGACTTGAACTAAGGAGTTGGCCATAAAAGTGACAAGTAGGGGACCTGATATACAGTTAGATTCTCCAAGTGTTGGCCCTACTGTCTTTCTACTTACTCAGCTTCCCAACTTATGGATAACCCTCATCACTTAAAGCTTCCTCACCTAAGTATCCATTCAGTTGCCAGATCTTGCCAACTCAAGTTCCTCAGCATCTCTCTAATCAGCCTCCTTTTTCTACTCTCATGGCCATTACCCTAGTTTGGGATTTATCAGCTCTTAATCATGGTTCATTTGGTCTCCCTGCCTCCCATCTTATCTACAGTCTAGCTTTTACAATCTAGTCAAATTAGCATGACTTTATAGATATAGGCTCACTTTGCCTCAGTTCCCATATCTGAAAAATGGGTTAGTAGGAGAGGTTTGGACTCCATGGTCTCTAAGATCCTTTCCAGTTCTAAATCTGTGTTTCTATGATCATGAATCAAAGATATGAACACCAAAATGTTGTAATACTTTTGCCTGTTAACAGCTTTCCAAGAGTTTCAAAACTCCTATCTGTTCCGTTGGTTATTTCTCCAAATTGTATTTACTGTGAAGATGAAGTGCTATTTTCTGAACCCTATTCTGAGGAAAGTACCTCTGTTTTCTTAGCACTTGCAGATTTGTGGAAGTTGTGCTGTTAACGAGGGGCCTATTTCTTCCTGTTAGAGACAAGATTAGGTATTTGACTTTCCATCTTGGTACTGTGGGAAGAGTAATGGTTTTGCTGTTAGATGATCTGGGTGCGAATCCTGGCTTTGCAGAGTCACCTGTGTGACCTTAGGGGAGTCACTAAACCTCCCTAGGTCTAAAATTCTTCATCTGTAAAATGACTAGAAGACTTATAAGGACTCTTTTTGACTCTGTATCTGTGATCCTATGATCCCTTTTACTGTTTAATCTTCAGCAGTGGTTAATTCAGTTTGTGACTGATAAGCACCTGGTTCCCTGCCCATCTATTTGACTTCAACAGACTTGTCCCAGAAGTGGAATGGTAAGCAAGCTTCATTTATTGGGCTTATTCCCTCCTTACCACTGGTACCAGCCTTAAAATAGGAAAAAAAAATGTCCCCAAATGATAAATGTAGTTTTACAGGATTGAGGCTTTCCCTCAGGGTTCTTCAGACTTTTAAAAGTGATCTGAACTCTTATTCCTTGGTTAGTAATCCAGACTATTGTTGAATCAGATATAGTGCTTGTTTTTGCCACCAATTTTAGACTTGATGTGAGATGAAGCTGAGAATAACTCATTTGTTTTTTTTTTGTGTGTGTTTTGTTTTGTTTTTTGACAGATTATAGTCTGGAAATAATGTTTGTTTCACTTGTTTTGTTGAATCTTGACAAATCTGAGGGTGAGACCCTTTCTGGTTACAATTTAACACGAGCTTGATAAAGCTTTTCTTCTTTCAGGAATGCTGTGATTAAATAAGGGAACTAATAGTCACAATAAGATATAAAAGAGAAAGCAATATTTCAGATAGTCTTATCATCATAATTACATCGCCATCATCAATATTATTATTTTAAAGCAATCTTGGCCCCACAGCACATAGAAAAAAAGGATTGGGATGAGTTTAGAAATCTCTTGAGAAGCAGTAAGAATAAAAAAAAAAAGGCTGAGAAAGGTGGACTTTAGACTATAAACTCTGATTAGGAAGAGTGATCTTAAGACATTAAGGAAGATTCCCTTGCCTAAATTTTTTTTTTACTTTATTTTGTTCTATTTTTTTTTTAACCACAAAGCCTTGCTTCTGTTGCTTGAAATTTCTCTATGAGAAATCTATTCTTTTGAGTTAAGTAAGCATCCTTGCCTATTAAAATGTTACAGGAAAAAAAAATGTAACACATTAAGCCATGATTAGTCATGTGCATGTTAGTATGAAATAATTTAAGCATCCTTTTTAAAAACACTGAGAATACTTATTACATACAACTTTTTTTTTACAAATATAATAAATATGAGATGATAGTAACAATATTGCTGTTTATCTGTGTCTCCTTCTGAACTTTCTTTTGCTTTCTTCTGTGTATTTTTTGTTTCATTGCCACTCTTTCTTTTTGGCATCACTCCCAATTACTACTACCCACTCCCTCGCCTCCCCCCCAAAAAGATCTTCCTCCTAAGGTAAAGTCAAGCAAAGAAAATCTACCCATTCAACATACCTGAAAATTTATGTCTCACTCTATACCTTTATACCATGAGGTGAGAAGCACCATTCACCATCCATCTCCTGGAGCCATGTGATTGATTAATCATTTCACTAATCAAAGTTCTTAAATCTTTTAAAGATGTTTCACTTTCCAGTGGTGTAGTCATTGTATAAATGTTTTGGTTTACTCCATGATGCATCAGTTCATATATATCTTCCCAAGTTTCTTTGTGGCATGATAATATAACATGATATGAATAATAGGAATGTATTCATATGCCATAATTTTTCCTTTTCCCATAATCTGTGGGGACCCCTTTGTTTCCATATCTTCACAGCCACAACAAAAAACGTAGTGCTATAAATATTTTTGAATATATGAGTCTTTTTCCTTTCTAGCCTCTTTTCCACCTTGCCTCATACCTTCAATGATATATAGATCTTTGGATTTGTTTGTTGTCTGATTGGCTTGTCTACATTTTTCTTCCATGGTTTATTGCAGTTCTTGCTCTGTTGCCTTCTTTTTCTGTCTTATTTCCTCTCAGATCTCCTGTTCTAGCCCCTCACTTCCAGAAGGACCCAAGGATACAGTGCCATCCATTTTGCCAACAAACAAACAGAAAAGCAACACAGGAAAACCTTTAGGAAGAATTCCATTGTTCCTCCCCACCCTCATTCCCACCCTTTTCTATTTAGAGAAATCTCTGCCTGCTTTATTTGTGTTCATGTTATCTTAACTTTAGAATGTAAACTGCTGCCTTCCACCCTGTACTCTGGGATGACCATTTTCTACCTAGCTAGTGCTTAACCCATTGCCCAGACATTTAGCCATTTTGTAAGTTTCACTTGTTGAAGATGCCCTAAACTTTGATGAGAGTAAATCTTTAGAATATAGGAGATAAAATCCAGCTCTTGTGCATTGGGCCTCAATTTATTTGGGATATTTGTATGATCTTACTTTAAGCTTCAGCAGTTGTGATACCATACAAAAATATTTAGAGAAACCAAAATATTAAGGCAAAGGGGTTGTTCAAACTATTTAATTATTTCAGTAGTTAAAACTTAAGTAGGTATAATTTCAACAGAATGTGGCAACTGTGATAAGTCATAAAGTCATAAGCCTGAAAAAGACTCTTTGACCCAACTCTCTTAGTTATATTGAGATATATTCTGCTTCAGTCAAAGGAGAACTCTCTTTTGGTCAGAGCCCTCAATTCAACTCCCTACCTCTATAGTCTCAGTTTCCATATTTGTAAATTAGACATGCTAATCACTGGTGTGCTTCAGTGGCAATGCAAAGTAAGAGGATCTGGGTTTGAATCCTGGTTCTGCTATCTTACTTATGTGATATCTCACAGCCTTGTTTAGCATCATTTTCTTTTTCTTTTTCTTCTTTTATTTTTGTGAGGCAATTGAGGTTAAGTGACTTGCCCAGAGTCACACAGCTAGTGAGTGTTATGTGTCTGAGGCCGGATTTGAACTCAGGTCCTCCTGACTCCAGGGTCAGTGTTCTATGCACTGTACCTCCTAGCTGCGCCTCGTTTTCTTTTCCCTTAAATGAAGTTTATTTTTATCATATGACTTTCCTTCTAATGGTAGGTCTCTGAGCCTGTGATCTAGCTTTCCACATCTGTTATGGGGAAATTGTCTTTATGAGCCACAAGCTACTTTATAAATGAGTTGTTATCATTATTATTATTACTACGTAGCTAGTAGCTAGCATTTATATAGTCTTTTAGGGTTTGCAAAGCACTTTACAAATATTTCCTTTGATCTTCACAACTCTCTGAGATAAGTACTATTATTATCCCCCTTTTTATAAGTGAGGAAGCCAAAGTAGACAGGGGTTAAATGACTCGCCCAAAGTCACACAGTCGGATTTGAATTCAGGTCTTCTTGACTCTGGGTTCAGTGCTCAAACCACTGGGCCAGCTCCACTTACTGTCTTCTCCTCTAAAAAAAACCTTTATGATTTCTAAGAATTCTAGTCCTGGTTGTGAGACATAGCAGGATACTGTTTATAGAACATTTCCTCAGTTAACTTTTTGATTGATGCACGATAATTTTATATGAGAATTCTAGCAAGAATATTCCGAGATGTGCGGTGAATGTTTCAGTTTGATTAATACTTGCTTATTTTCCTGTCACAAAACATGCAGACCTACTTGTGTACATATAACTATACTCATTCATTTCTTTAAAAAAAAACTATTTAGTTTTTATTTTATAGAATAGAACAAACATTTCCATAACTTAGTATAATAAAGATGATTGCACATGAAACTGTAAATCTATTATGTACAATTTGCTGTTCCTTTTAAATATAAAATTAAGTTATAATGTAAATTTCTTTCTTCTCCCTTTTTGTTCTTCCCTCCTTCCATCCTCCACCCTAGAGATGGTTACCATTAGACACAAATAGGTATTATACATATGTGTATGTGTATATTATATATGTGTGTAAATAAATTCTCTATATACTTCTATTTATCAGTTCTTTCTCTGGATAGAGATAACATCTTTCTTCATATGTCCTTTATAGTGAATTTGAATATTTATAATCATCATTTCTAAAGATTATAGAACTGTGATTTCAAGTAAGCCGTTAGGCTGAATTACTTTACAAAATCCATTCAATATGCATGCTACATTTTTGTACAACTAATTTTGCAAAGAAATGAAATAGTCAATTTCAGAAAAAAAATTATTTTTTTTAGCTAGGGGATTTTTAGGGGAAAATACTTGCATAAAGACTCAGCTAAACTGATAGATTTATTTTGTATTCATCTTCTTTCCCATAATGTATGCTCTCTAGGAGATGATCCATCTGGAGGGAGAATCAGGAAATTAAGCCTTGGCCAGTATGACAACGACAATCCTGGGCAGCCATCATTTACTGGATGTGGATGGGTAAAAGCTACTAATATGGATCCAGTTCCAACTCTGGGATCCTTCATTGCTTCAGGGGAAACCAAAGAGGTAGATATGACTTGGTATTTTTATTATACCTTTCCTTAAAAGATTTCAAAGCACTTTAAAAACACCTAATCCAGTTCAACTTCATTCTCATGCAGACCTAGATTTCTAAAGTTAAAAAAGATTTAATTTCCACCCTATGTTTATATCTCTCTTGGAAGTTTAACTTGACTTTTGATTACGCAGAGAATAATAACTTCTAGTATTCTTTTTTTCCCATATTTTCATTTTTGAACTCTAAATATGCTTGTCTACATTTCTGAAAAATTTATCATTTTATAGAAGTTCTCTGTCATTTTCTAACCTATTCTTTCTCTGACATTTTCAGTTTTTTTGAAAGAACTAATTTATGACTTAATTTCTATCCCAATTTGTTCTTTGAGGTTTTTATTTTGTTTTGTTTTATTGATCTTCTGATACTCACTGAAGATGATTGTCGATGTTCTATTATGACTTTTTCGGGTATCTTACTTTTGTTTAAGTATACTTCTTCTGGGTTTTTTGTATTGCCTTCCTTTATCCCATAGTATTTTTTCATTATATTGGCAAATCTTTCTGTTGTTGAGAATTTTTTTTTCAGGCTCTCTGCTGATTTCTCTGTGAGGATTTCCTTGTGATAAATGATTTTCTGTCTCTTTTTGTTGTTACTGAATTTATTTGGCACATTTCTTACCATTTTTTGAAGTGATGGAGGATCTGTGTTTAGACATGGCTTCTCATTCAACCAACTTACCACATAGCTCTGTCACAATCTCTCACATGGGGAATGGGAAAGGATTTATGTATTGGGAAGGGAAGAAGAGAGGAATAACCATTTATATAGCACCTACTATATGCCAGGCACTTTGCTAAACTCTTCTAGATATATCTTATTTGATCCTCACAACAACCCTGAGAGGTGCTATTGTTATCTCTATTTTACAGTTAAGTAAACTGAGGCAAACAGAAGTTAAATGATTTGCCCAGGGTCACACAACTAGCAGATTTCTGAGAAAGGATTTGAACTCAGTTCTTTCTGACTGCAGGACAGGAGCTCTAGCTGTTGTACCACCTAGCTTCCTGGAGTCTTGTCAAACATATACCTGGGCCTGACATGACATAGTCATGACCTCTCAGACATTTTGCATATTCTATATATAACACTTTAAGCAGCTTACAGATTAGTCCAACATGCATATCTTTCCTCAGTGATATGAGCAGTTCGTGTGCTGCCAACAGTTAGAATGTATGCTACCCAGGTAATGAGACTCTGAAAAGCTATTTTATTGTGTTTGGAAGAGATATTTATCCAGATCTCTTATTATACTTCCTTCAGAAACAGACATACTCTATCATAATAAACTGGGCTTCTACTCTTCTAATTATGATTGTTCCTTTGTGCTAGGCCAGAGGGGGGGAACCTGTGGCCTGGAAGCCACATGTGGCCCTCTAGGTCCTCAAGTGTAGCCCTTTGACTGAATCCAAACTTCACACAACAAATCCCCTTAATAAAAGGATTTGTTCTATAAAACTTGGACTTGGTCAAAAGGCAGCACCCAAGGACCTAGAAGGCCATATGTGCCTCAAGACCACAGGTTCCCCACCCCTGTACTAGGCCAAGAAGTTTCGTCCTTTTTTCTCTATCACCATTTCCTGTTCACATTATCCTAAACCACTCAGACTATCCCTGAGTCATAACCCAACCACCAGAAAAGAGAGGACTGATGTAGAGAAGGAGAGTTCATCAAATTAATTCTCTGCTCTCAAGAGATCTGCTTCATAGCCAGCCTATATGTTCTTTGTTTCTCCTCCCTCCGTCCTTCAATTCTGGAACCCGGAACCATGATCAAATCAACTTTGCTATCATTCCCAGAAGGGCTATGTCAGTCTACTCCCCCTAAGGCCTTATTCTTCCTCCCACTTGTCCTCCTGCACAAAGTGCACCTTCCTGCCTATCACTCCCTTTATTTATTGCTTCCTTCCTTAGAATGAAAGTTGATTGGGGGCAGGAGCAATCTTTGCTTTGGTATTTTTATCCCCAGCTCTTAGCACAATGCTGGGTAACTGCAAGGACTTAATGAATGGTTCTTCATTCATTCATTCATTTATTTATTCACTCATACCTAGAGAGCTCCAAACTAAGATGCCCCTGCCTTTCCCTTGTTCTCTAGATGTTTTCTATTACTATTGAATGCAAGCTTTATGGGAGGTAGAAACTGACTGGCTTGCTTATATTTCTATCCATAGCAGTTTGCATATTGCTTTGCATGTAGTAAGTGCTTAAAAAGTCCATTTTCATTTATTCATTCCTGTAACAGCTGTTCCTCTTAGAAAATAACTATAATTGAGATGAGAAACATAATTTTTCTTCACACATTAAGGGAGTAAATATGTGTGTGTTCCCACATATTTCATATATGCATCTTCATACATATATATATTTCTATATATACATATATATGAAATTCTAATTTGCAGTTAGTGAAAAGATAATATGAAGTACAATGAAGTTAATTAACTTCTAGAGTCATGAATCTAGAATTGGATTGTAGTCCTTCTAATCTTCATCTGAATCTAGTAGTCTATATTAGAAGTGAGGTAGCTAATGCCCTCTGCCAATTAAACCCCATTTTATTTTTCTGCCTGTGTAAATCCTTTTGCAGACAATGGTAACCAGTTATCCGCAAGAGCTTGATGTGATAGATGGGGGAATATTCTCACCAACCAAAAATGGAAATGAATCAGTCCCTCCTACTCCAGGTTTTCCTGTGTCACCAGAGACACCATATGGTAAGAAAATCTCTAGCAAGAGTCACATGGCTTTGTACACATTGGTTTTTCCATTTTTGATAAGCAGAATTATTAAAGTCATTTATTGTTCTTTCTCTTTCAGTGAAAACTTCTTCACATTATCCTCAGATCAGTCCATCAGAGCAACTCATGAGTGGCCCAACCAATTTGTACAAAACAGGACATGGTAAGAACTTTAGCTCTTTAAAATGTTTAGGTTTTGTCTTACTTTGAAGATCATTCATTTGCTGGGGGTGGTGGTATATGCCTATAATCCCTATTACTGAGTAGCTGGAAGGTGGTGGATTGTTTGAGCTCAAGAGTTCTGAGACTGCAGTAGAGCTAAAGCCTATCAGGTGTTTGTGCCAATCTTGCACCAATATGCTGTGGCTCTTGGGCAAAGGTGCACACCCCCCATCAACCAACTTTGCTAAAGTCAAAGCTTCCATGCAAGTGAACAATAGGATCCAGTCTAGAAGTGGCTTCCAGTCTGGGTGAAATAGGAAGAATCAGGTTCTAAAAAAGAAGACTCTTCTTCATTGACCTTGGTTATATTTTTGTTTCTAATGATTGTTTTGACTTAAGTTTAGATTGATATCTCTTTTCACTATGTCTAGAAATTATTTGTTTCACTTTGGGATCAAATTTCTCAAGCCTTTCAGCTTTGAACAAATGTGGGATTTATAGAGTAATTATGTAAAAATCCTGGCATCACAAACCCGGTGATGATTTGGCCATTCAGGTTTAAATGTCTGTGTGGAATAGCAGTAATAATAAAGTTATTAAAATGTGTTTTAATAAGAAGATTAAGGCATAAATTCTGGAGCTTAATAGACTGCTCTAAGAAATTTAATTTTTCATCAAGCCTTAGTAAATTGTCTAGAAGTTTCCCTTGACTTACAACTGCCAGTGTCTAATGTTCTAAACATATTGTTGTCTATTGATATTTTTCTGATTTTTTTCTTCTATATCAGAGCTTTTGAGTTGCTATACTATATAAAATATTTCCCACATATCTAAAGATTATCGACCGGTAGCTTGCCCATAGTAAATTGTTTAACTTTTTGTGAATAATACCACCTACTCTGCACTAGAACACTATGGGATTAGGAGGTTAGGAAACAAAATATTTAATTCTCTCCTTTTCAGGCAAGCTATGTACATAATGGCTATTAAGCTTTGATTTAGTGAGAAATGTGTTTTTATGAATCCCAAACTAGAGAGTGTGGACAATGCCTTTATAACCTTTATGTCAGATCTTCACAATGGGTCTTTACAGTTTTATTATTCATTGTGATGTTCAGAAAGTCCAAAAAGTTAGGCAAATTAAAAAAAAATCCTCTACTATCAGATATAAATCTTTTCTTTGCATTTACCTATTATATTACTTGAGAACAGAAGTTAGAAATTCTTGTATTTCCCTTAACAGTGGGTAAAATAATAATGGATATTTGTTTATTTATTTTTCTCTTGAAAGAGAAGTAATATGAACCCTTAAAAGTGGTAATTACCAGTTATCCACTAAAAAGCCATTTGTGGTTTCGGGCACTATCAGTTCCTCCATTTCTGCATTGTGTATAAAAGCTGTTAAACAAATACTTCATTTCCTAACTAAGATTACTGACATTGGGGTGGGGAGGGTACAAGAAGTAGTACAATGAGTTATAGAAAAGCTGGTATATAGATACAGGCATGGATACATTAAATGATGCTCTGTAAATAAATTCACATAATATGTGTATTATATATAAAAAAAAATTTTAACCTGGAGAAGAGAACACTTAACTGAGGTACACAATAGATGTCATTTTTATATATGAAAGAGTAACATGTAGAAAAGTGAGTAGACTTAATAGGAGAGAACGTGGACATGTTATAAGCAGGCAGACTTCAGTTCAGCATCTAAAAATGAATAGTGGTTGTCTAGAATATGAAATGATTTTCATAGCATCAAAACTATTCATTCTGAAGCTGTGTGAGCATGTGCCAGGATTGTTATAGAAAACCTGACATAATAGGAGGTTGAATCATAAAATTCTTTGACTCTATGTTGCCGCCTGTGGTAACTTATTTTGAATGTCCTCAGTACTGAGAAATTTTTATATCCTTTGAGGGGAATTTTGGTTTTGAGGAACACTCCAAAGTTATTTGGAGCCATTCCTATTGAAAAATATGAGTGTTCAAGTGGAGTAGTAACATTTTTTGAGTAAAAATTCAGACATATTTATATATAATATATAATTATATTACAGTGAGACCAATTTTACCATTTGGCTAAAAAAGTGAATCTGAAACTTTGGAAAAGAATAGTTGTAAAGTGCTTAGCACAGTGCCTGGTGCATAGTAAGTGCTTAATAAATGCTTATGCCTGTCCTTTCTGTTCTCCTCCCAACCCCCACAGCAATGGAAGTCTTATTAAGATAAGCATCCTCTCATGCATTCTAACTACTTTGAAATAAAATACTTATTTGGAGTATGAAGCTCTGCTTATTAATACTCCTTTTTTTTTTTAATTTTAAGACAGTTGAGCTTAAGTGACTTGCCCAGGGTCACACAGCTAGTAAGTGTCAAGTGGTTTGATCTGAGCTCAGGTCCTCCTGACTTCAGGGCCAGTGCTCTATCCATTGCACCACCTATGTTAAATACTCTTAAAAGTCCTACATTGATGCCAATAGTATGGAGATGACTCTGGGTTTTCAAAAGCTATGCCAGAAAAGTTTAATTTCTGATAGATTTTACCACATTGTAAAGGCTTAGGGTATAAAAGAAACTATGAATTTTAATAATAATAAGAGCATTTGTATAGTAATATAAAGTTTGCCAAATGTTTTATGTAGATTATCTCTTTTTTATTCTTTTTATGTGAAGATTTTTCACCCTTTCCTTTCCCCTCCCATATGGTAAAGAAGTTGCCACATAGCTTAGGTAAGTATGGATAGGCTCATTGTCAGAAGACCACAAGGTATGATATTGCCATGACAGGCTGTGAAATGGAGAAAAATTTTAACTAGCTCTTGGACCTACATTTCCTCTTTCCATATCTGCAGTGATATTAGTGGAGTGGGGTGGGAGAGGATTGGAATGGACTGGTAAGCCACCAGTTATGTACAAAGAGGGCCTGAAGTTATTGAGAGAGGTCACAGGTGTACATCATGGTAGTGTACTGGGTTTCAGGAATGGCTCGCCATCATTGTGGTCTTAGGTTTCATATTTTCCCTTATTCCAAAAGTTATCACATCTTAAAAACCTCTTTTTCTCCTGCCAAAATTAGACAACCAATATTAAGGAATTCAGCTGTCTCCATACATCTGGTCTTATTCCTTCTCACACCCCAGTCCTGGGACAGGGTTTGTTGTGATCAAATTGGCAATGGGAAGGGATATGGGGAGGAAAAGCAGGACGTTAGGGTCAGGTCTGCTCTGCTGCATTATGTGCTTAGCTGTTTTTATGGGTGTTCCAGATGTGGTGGAGGGGAGAAGAGAATGGTGAGGGAGAGTGTGGTGGATTCGGGAAGCGGAAGTTTGGTCACTTCTCAATGGCAGGAAAAAAGAACTATGAGTTCCTAGATCTCATCATTCCACATCTCAAGAAAAAGAAGCACGCAGTCTGGTCTTTTTGTTATCAGATAGCTGTTGAAGTAAATAAAGGGAAGATAAAGAGGAGAAGGCTACTGGTTGTGGAGAGTCACTTCTGACCAGATTAACAAAGGGCTTTTATTTGAGCCATCTGTCTGTCAATGGACATACCTATGGCTTTGGTATAGGTAGAACCCGTTGTTATGACAGTCACTATAATGGAACTGTATTTAAAAAAACAATACAAAACTTAATATGTCAAGTTTTCAGAAGTGAGTCTAATATATTGCTGAAAAAACTTCCTTTCATCATTTACATTTCACTGGAAAACATTTAAAGGTTTTAAATCATGGTTATGAATTGCTTTGCTTCTCTTTTGATGAAGAGTGTTAGTATACCTTAATAAATGGTAAGTCAGTCTCGGAGTCAGAAAGTCCTGTCTCAATTCTTACCTTCCTAAGGCAGCATATCACCAACACTCTCCTAGATTAAATTGCAAAATAACTGCCATTCTGAATTGATAGAGGGAATGTCTTCATTAGGAGTGACTTATACCAATGAAATCTTAGGTCCAAACTAAAAAAAAAATTATAGGAGAAAGGAAAAAGTATTTTGACTACTGTAAAAATATTTTTCCTTACCACTTAATGTAGTAAAGTCTTATCAGCTCTTTCTTATTGTTGATCAACAGTAAATTGATTTTTAGATTTAAAGTTGTTTTTAATTTGAGAAATGTGGTTCTTTAGGAAATCTAGATCCTCTTTCTGAGATATTTTAATATTATTTTTAGTTGTTTTATTTTTTTCTTAGCAACACCAGGGTATCATATCATAAGAGATGAAGATAAGAAATTAGGTCCCAAGTTCACAGTAGAGAAAGATTCAGGCAGCAACTTCCTGTTGGATAAGAAATGGGAGTTATTTTTGGTTTTAGATTAAGCATAAGTGATATCCGTTCAGGCAGTACAATTTGTGAACTATGTCTGAGTCCCAGGGCCTACACAAAACAGTGTTTTACTGTATACTATTGTGTAGTGGGGGTGGAGATTTAATTCTGGAGGAGGTGGAGGAAAAGGGAGAGACATAGTTCTTTAGTATTTTAAGGTTTACAAAACACTTTCCTCACTACAGCCCCAGGAGGTAGGAATTGTGAGCAGTATTATCCCCATTTTACAGATAAGGTTAAATGACTGAGACTCAGTCATAGTTCATAGATAGAAGAAGAGCTCAGCTTTGCAGATGCTAAATCTAATGCTTTTTTCCACTAGTCTCCTTTGCTTCACAATGGCCCCCATGCAGTTGTTTTATATGAATCATATGCCCTTGATTCTGCAAACAGTTATAAGGGAAATAAACCCATAGTAATCATACTTCAAGCTGTTTCTCTAATTAATTAATTAATTAGACTTTACTTACCTTTTTTTTATAAAAACCTAGATATTTCTTTCTCTATCTCTACTTATGTGTGTTTCTCAGGGTATGCCTACATATACAAATAGCAAAGAGATTTATTTAGTCTTGTAGGATTCAGGAAATAAACCATATGAACTGAATTAAAATAGACCACCATCACCTAAAAGAATTGCTGTTATAAGGGACAGGTAGGTGGCACC